GAAGAGGCAGAGGAAGCCAGGTATGTTCAGCCTGGTGAAGAGAAAGCTAACTGGGGATCTAGTTTTTCACTTCAACTATCTAACGAATAGCTATAGAGAAGATGGAGCCAGACTTTTCTCAGAAATGCACATCTAAAGAAAAAGAAGCAATAGGCACAAGTTGCAGCACGGGAAATTCTCACAAGGGAGAAGGAAAAATATTCAAGACAGCGATTCAGCACTGGAACATGTGCCCAGAGAGGTGTTGGAATTTCCACCCTTAGATTCAAAACTGAGCTAGCTAAGGCCCTGTAAAATCTAATCTAAATATGAAGTTTGTCCTGCTCAAAGGCTTTGGACCACAGGACCTCCAAAGGTACCTTCCAGCCAAACAACCTGCACTTCTCTATGATCTTAAGAGAATTGTAATGCTTCTGCATGAAAAATGTGTAAACAGCCAATGTAACATTGTAATTTCTCAACTTTTCATGCATAGTTTTACTTGCTTCCCTTTTAATCTTTTTATAAGAGCTATACAATTTTACAAGATGGGGTTGCCATAAGCTGAAGTTTTGATGAAGTTCACTACTTAAATGTGGAAAAGTTGGGTGTAACATACTTCTGCAAGATACAGATCTGTCAACAATTTGCTTAAGAGACCCCCAATATGAAGCCTTGTCTCCTGGAGTACTGAAATAAAACCAATTATTATAGGTAGCTGATCCATGAAGTCTTGTTTCTATTTTAGATTAAATTATTTCCTTTCAGTCATGTATGTGTGCACGTAGACACCTACATATATACGCATATACACTCAGTTAAGTTAGTAAAAATTTAAAACATATCTACAGTACTGGGGGGAAAAATTAGTATGAAAATGGCAACTAATATATCTACTGGTGGTCATGAAAGAAGGTGAAAGCAAAAGGTATGTGGATTTTCGATGGGATCAGAATGTTACAATGTCATAGGAAATGTAATTAGTTATGAGAAATAAAGTTCTGACTCTTGAAAGTAATCAGAGTGCACCAACTACCTTGGTTTCCATTTTTAACCATTCAATAAATATCTTTGCTCTTTCAGTTGTTAAGGTCTGGAATGCTAAGAAGTTATAACAAACATTATGGTAAATGATAGAAGGAATCTAATATTGCTTTCTTTTGACTGATGGAGCAGCATTTAAAAATTCTACGAACTGTATTGCAAAGAAGAGCAATGAGTATGACAGACGGAAACAATCTACAGTGCAACTAATTTTGAATAATTAAGATCATTCAGCTTTGGAGACAGATGAATAAAAGGTTCATGGTAAAACTTATACAAGTCTAACATACTGTGGCAAAGTGGCTTTCTTTCCAAAAACATTCTTACGATTACACATTTCAAACATCCTGTGCTTATTCCGGAAGAATACCAATCAAGTGGCATTGTCCAGTCTAGAAGGGAAATCATCTTTGGTCATAGGGAAAGGAAAAAGTGGAAATCATTGTCCTAGACAAGGAATAAAGTACCTTACAATCTTAAAATATTGATCCAAAGCAAAAAGGTTTTTTCCATACATATAAAGATTAATTAGAAAGCTAATACATGTTAAATGAATAAAGGTATCTGCTTATGCTACTATGTAATATTTGAAAACCTTGGAAATACACTGACTATACAGACCTAGAGTGAAAACCTGAGCTTAGAGAAAACATTTTCTTTTCCTGTGACTTTAAAGTGGAACCAGATTTCACTCTAAAATTTTCGTCTCACTATTTAATATTACATTCTTTTGCACTTCTTTCCCATTAAAAGCCTATATTAAATGCATATTTTTGTTTATCATTCTTTTTAACCTAAAAATGCTCATGATTACAAAGTTTGTTCTGGAATATGTGTTAAAAACCTGTTGGATTAAGGTTCTCCAAAAATTTGTTTGAATTTTTGAGCCAAACTTTAATCTAATCCCTTTAGACTAAAGTTAGCCCATCCCTTTAAAGTCTAATCTGAAAGACTTCAAAATAGCAAATTGTATGGAACCCAATCTGTTTACCTGAAAAGGATGAAAGGGTTTGTGTTCCATCTAGATTTGAACTTTTGGTTCCACAGTGTCTAGGTATTTCAAACTAGAGGTTTACACCATTAAGACATGCCACTCATAACAACTCAATCTTTCCTATGTTAATATCCATGATAGAAAGATAAATGAATGCTTTGATAAATTAGTAAAAAATATTTTTAAATACTAAATGATAACTATTATGAAAAGTGTTTCTCAAAATTGCCATTTCAGGCACAAGAGGCGATATTTATCTTTTTTTTTTTAATCATTCTCTACCAATCTCAAGAAAAAAGTCAGTTGCTAACAGGAACATTAGTTCGTTCCCCAATGGCACACAAGAAAACCCCTCTTTCATTTATTGTCTTTGTCTCATCCCACTTCCAAGGTAATCCTTTTAAGACTACCTTAGCCAACCAAACTGTGAAATAAATCCAATGTACCCTATAACATAGGCAGCCCCAGTTAATATTGTTCAAATTATTTACATCTGAAGCGCCGCGCCTGTCTGGATAGCTGGGCCCGACGCTTCTCTGGACTTGGTTTCTGCTACTCACATCTGTTTCAGCTTTAGACTTTCACTGGTAGTCTGCCAGCAGCCACAACTTTTTAATGGCTACAATAAACTACAGAGACTCATCAAATCTTTGTTGTACGTGTTAAAATTATAACCTCTTCAATTAAAATTTTGATTTAAAAATAAACTACAGCATTATCTGAAGAAAAAGATTTGAAAGGGAATGTTTGAATGAGATACAACATTTTTATATGAGTGATTGTTTCTTTGTTTAAATATAAGAGAAACTAATCACAGGAATGCTTGTTAGAATTCTGCTGCATATTTCTGAGTGATAAAATACCAACATCTGAAAACATTTTTACAACCTTTTTTGTTTCAAATCTTTGCTGTCATTAACTTTATATGTTAATTGGTTTGGCTGGGTTTCAAATACTTTTTTAAAATGGAGAATTATGGAAACAACCTCAACATAATTTTTCTAGATTTTCTATAAATACCTAAGAAAATTTGTTTTAGAAGATAGAACACAGTGCTTACAAGAAAGCTGCAGTTTTTATTTTAAGAGCTAATTAAGCGTATCGCTTTTCCTACTTGCTGCCCGTGTCTTTGCAATGTAGAACAAATATGATGCGAAAGTCACAGCCTCAGTGCAGATGCTGCAAGACTAAGATGCACGACAGCAGGACTACATGCTGAAAACATACAAGATCAAACACAGATCATGTTTCTGCACAAACTAGCCCAAAAGAGGGCAGGCCAAGGGGCTTACAGGGCCAAGCGATTAGAGGAGATAGAGCACTCGCTTATGCCCGGGTCGAACAAACAACAACTGATACTTTCCTACCACTGTTAACCTTTGAAACTATCCTAAGATGGTAGTGACCTAATCCAGCAATTTCTAACTGTAAGGATAAATTATTTTGGAATGGTTTTCATTGCCTTACATTAAAAAAATTAAACACAATCATCTTGTTCAACTCTGATTCTAAAAGAACCCTTCCGTTTTGATGCAGAGATGTAAATGTAAATGGAGAAGCTGTAAGGAAAATTATGCAAATTTTCTCCCTAAACGCCATTTTCTACACAAAACTGCTTCAGTAAAAGTAGCAACTTTTCCTTAACAAAAAAGACAGGCTTAAAATATTCAGTTATCATTTGCTGCATTTATTTTTAGAAAGTCATATGAAGCACAAAATAAAAATGATACTGCTTGGAACACTTCGAGAGCAACTCTTCCTACTTTATTTCCACTCAGTACCTTGATTGATAGATGAGTTGGGTTTCTGAGCCCCTCTTTATAATAAACATTTTAAAATGTTTATTTTATGTCCCAGGGTGAAAATATTTTGAACTGGAGCTTTCCATTTCCCTTCGCTGTGCCTTGGCAAGCTGTGTTTTATTTCTACATTAATAGTATTCAACTCTTTCTTGTATAACAACAATTTAACAGCTACAAGTACTGAAGAAAGTATTTATGTTATGGAACTAACAGATATCTCCAGTTAAACACACAGTTCTGGAGAAGCCAGAGGAAAATTCACACATAACTAAAGAAAATTTCAGAAAGATTTCTTTAGGGGCCTTTTGCTTGTAAAAGGGAAAATAACTTTTCAGTATCTTCACTTTCATTTTTATTAAGTCATGAGTTGGAATTTTTTTCCCTAATTTATGTGAGTAATTTGTGCCACAGTGTAAAAACTCTAAATGAATCAACACTATAAACCTAATTAGCAATAAGAAAACCTCATAAAGGTTACATTTTAAATAGCACTTTGTTCTTAGCAGAACAAATGTGAAAGTTCCCAGTTACCTTCTAGATCTCTCTTCAGTTTCCTTAAGTCTTTTATTAGGTCTTCAAACTTAACTTGGGAGGCCTGGAAAAAATCCTGTGGTTCTGGTAAAGGAAAAATACTCTTGTCTGTTCCTGCTTCCTAAACAAACAAACAAACAAACAGGCCACTAAGAAAATTGAATGCATTTACAGCAAAATAAATTACTTTTTTTGAAACATCATCTATGAAACACTATTATAAAACTGCAAAAATAATATATTTTAAATCATTCTTACTAAAACAACATATATATAAGTCAAGATGAAGTCCTGGCCATTCTGAATGTTGAAACTTCCTTTTAGATGTTGTAAAACAAACTATGCTCAATTTAAACTATGAAACAACATTGAGCTCACAACATTTTGGTTCATTTTATATCAATAAAGGTTGAGATAAGGGATTAGAATGTTTTTAAAATACATAACATGATTGCCTATTTTAATGCAACAAGTGCTCTTATGCCAAAAGCTTGTAGTTTCACTCTCTCCCAATTCATTAAATATACACACATTTTATAAGCGTAAATTGAAAACAGTATTTATATATTGTCTGCAATATTTTATGCAGGTAAAAATATGCAGTTGAAGGTTTGTGTGGCTAAATAAATCACATGGTTTAATGTCTGTATGGAGCTCCTAAGTATATACCTTATTTTTAGCACAGCAAGAAAAAAAAATCAGAGGTAAAAAATACCCCCAAAACAAAAAAATCCTTACAAGCTTCAAAGCAGTATCTCCAGTGGAAATTTAATAAGTAAAGTATATAAATGGTATTGATATGACATTGCCATGTATAAGCATATACCAGTGAGTTTAAAACACTACCTTTGCACAGATTTCAGTCTGTAATAAAGGAAAACTCATTGGTTGGAGAACTGTGTTGTGAACAGGGGAAAAATAATTTTATTATTATAAAGATATGAACATTCAGGGGGAAAATGTACAATTTACATTATGTCCATTTCCTCCCAAGGAAGATAAACTGTTTTGTTCTACAAAATTCCCTGAAGCAAAATTACAGTATAGTAGAAAGTTTGCAGAAATATTAGAAATTTAAATAAATGAATTAGAAAGCATTAGCTTCAGCATTATTAAAAAAGAAGAAAATAATACATATGTCAATACCCTAGTAACTAAGAAACATTATAGGCTAGACAAAGTTGCTTTTGTTATGAGGCTTTTTACAACAAGGATACTTAAGCTAAAGTAATAACACTTTATTTCCCTGCTCAAAAAAAAAAAAAAAAAGAAAAAGAAAAGAAAAAAGGAAAAAAAAGGAAAGAAAACAAATACAGATCTACATATCTGATAGTTTTTAATCTCCTCTACAGCTCAGCCCCAGGAGCCATTTCACAGGCTCCTGACATACAGACTCTCTTTATTAGTGTTAGAGATCATAGAATCATAGAATGGTTTGGGTTGGAAGGAGACCTTTAAAGATCATCTAGTCTAACCTCCCCGCTGTGAGCAGGGAAATGTCTTCACTTACTTTAGTCTTACTCCTGGAAAAAATACTCATGACTACTAATACAACAATTCAACATCCTTATGTCAGAATTAAAAAAAAGAAGAAAGAAATAAAAATAAAAAATAAAAAAATTATTTGTATTCAAGCAGACATAGGGCCATGAAAAATTATACTAGTCTTAGATTCAAAGATTAGGTAAAGGCATCTTCTTAATCTCAAAAATAAGCAACTACGTACTTAAAATCAATTAACAGTGACATTTTTATTTAAAAGACAGTAGTTCAAATTTCCTACTCAAAACCTGTGGGCACTGCTGATATCTGTCAAAAAGCCTCACAAATGTAACTCACTCAAAGCAGCAGCCACACCTCTTCCCACATTTTCAACCTCTAACTTCATCCCTATCAGCTGACTCAACTATCTTAAAGCACCAACCCCTTCCTGCATTCCGTCACGACGGAAATCATGCTTCTGTCTTCCAGTATTACCCCACCAGAACAGGATTTACAGTGTTACAATAACCAGGATATAAGACGACTGTAGCCACCACCTGCTCAGTCTGCAACAGTCACAGGCAAGTGCCTGCAGTGGGTAGTTCAACGGGTAACGTAAAGTTTTCCAAAGCTGTATCATAAAACCTATAGCAAATTTCAGACCTATTGATGTCCACAACTTTTATAGGAAAGCAACAGAAACAGGCTTTTGTTTTTCCATCAGAGCTACTGTGTTCAGATGTTAAAAACCCTAATATAAACCATTTTACAATCTCTTAAAGAAACCTACTTTTGGAGAGGCTGATCCAGTGAATGAATCTTTTACCTTATCACAATGGCGTAGGTAATATATCACGACGTAATCCACAAGATTAATACCATTATCCTAAGAAAAAATGAATAATATTATTTATTATAATAATAATAATAATATTATTAAAAACGTGTCTGATTAAGACTGTTTCAAGTGAGTGAAAATTTACTCTTTCAAAACAAACATATTATTATTTTATATTGCTGTGAGAAATAGGACTCGCAGTATCTTCAGGCCTGGTGTTACTGACCAATCTTTTATAACATAAGGTTGACCGTACCACCACAGGACCTAGAGCATCTTTTGGTTCTAAATACCAAATAAGAAAACATGCACTGGTGGGAGAAGCTGTCTCCTTATCTTTTTTTAATAATACAAGGCATTACTGAATAATAATATTAACTTGAATAATAATATTAATTAATAATAGTATTCTTGAATATAATATTAACTAAATATTACAGTCACTTCAGGTATATTAAGGTTAACTGCATTTTTTGATTCCTCTAATCTCAATTCTGTAATGGAGATCTGAAAAAGACATAGATATTTTTCATATTTTACTCCAAATATAAAACCAGATAGCATGTACCTAATAAGTATATTTCATGCCCTGTTGCCTTATAAATATGAATTTTAATACTCACTTTGTGGAATCATAATTTCCACGGTCCTGCATACAACAACTGTACACAACATCATTTTATTTTGTTACATGTCACTGGGTCAGCATAGGCAGATGGACCAAAGGAAAAGTGTAAAATTGCGACTTATATGATACAGGGTGCTGTTCAACAACATAAAAGTATTGTAATATAGGGAATTATATCTGGAATGTCTTTGAAGTTTTTTTGGATGTGTTTTCATCTTGTATATTGCCAGGTATCAGGACAAACATTTGTATGTGAATAACGCCTGAGTTTCTGTACAGATCTGCCTCACCTATATTAAAGCCTGCAGCACATTATATTTTATTAATATCATACACGAGCAAAATTCTTAAGTAAGCAAGTCATTGCTGCCATGCAGAGAAATCCTCTCTGCTTGTATAACAGTTTTAGAAGACATTGCTGACAGGTCACGTGACAAAAAGGAACCGAGGTGACTCATGAACATTTGATTGTCCTTTTAGAGTAAAATACACCTGTTATTCTATTTTCTATCTGCTAAGCTATCCAACTTATTACTTGAGTTTAAAGAGTATTTGCAGAAGTCAAGAAACAGAGATTTTTGAAGTGGTGAGCTACATTTTTTTAAAAAACCTCTGTATCAAGTAACTTTCTAGACTCATGTGACAACAAATGACTTTTATGTGAAATAAGAGATATTTAACATTGACTCTTTATCTTAGATCCTGGAATTCAGCTTACCTAGACATAATATTGTTTGCTGGCAATTCTCAAAAAGGGAATAACAGGACACAGGAAGGATACCTTAGTGTTCAAATATACAAGAGTGCATTCTTCTTCCTTGCAAATATGGTCTACCAATTACCTCTGGGGTTTCTGCCTGTAGCAGCTGGCCCCTTTGAGATTTTATGCATTTTGGAGACTAGTCTAAACTAATAATATATTTATTTTGGCTACCAGGAAACTGTAAATACTGTAATTTTTTAGCTTGCTTTGCTAAGGAACAAGTCTTATGCAAGTATGCTGTACAGCTGTCACTCCTTTTCATAATTAATAATTTTGGAATGTGCTGGCTAAACTCAGCCAAATCGGAAAGTCCCAGAGAGAATTAAATTCTTACAAGTTTATGGTTAGATAGATGAGCAAGACTAAAATTAGTACTTCTACTGAGAAAAGTCAGGCAAAGCTCAGTTGTTTTACATTTTTCTTCATGTCAGCTAGACAACCAATGAACACCTGAGTACTGGGAATCTTGGCCTGGTTCTAGTTTAGCTGCAGCTTGTATTGTGTCTTGTCCATGGAGTAGGACTGGAAGAAAAGTGGTCATAGGGAACAGCTGAACCATTGCAATGAAGAGGAAAGCAAGAATTAGAATCATAGAATTATTTAGGCTGGGAAAGACCTTTAAGATCATCAAGTCCAATCGTAAACCTAACACTGCCAAGTTCACCAGTAAACCATGTCCCTAAGCACCACATCTACACGTCTTTGAAATACCTCCAGGGATGGTGACTCAACCACTTCCCTGGGCAGCCTGTTCCAATGCTTGACCACCCTCGTTCAGTGAAGAAATTTTTCCTAATAGCCAATCTAAACCTCCCCTGGCACAACTTGAGGCCATTTCCTCTCGTCCTATCACTTGTTACTTGGGAGAAGAGACCAACACCCACCTCGCTACAACTTCCTTTCAGGTAGTTGTAGGGCAAGATAAGGTCTCCCCTCAGCCTCCAGACTAAACCACCCCAGCTCCCTCAGCCACTCCTCATAAGGATTCTTCTCTAGACGGTTCAACAGCTTCATTGCTCTTTGGACATGCTCCAGCACCTCAATGTCTTTAGCAGACAAAGGACTCAAATCCATTGGAAAAACTTTCATTAACATATTTCATTAATATAGTCACTGAACAATTCATTAAATGTGTTTTTACACTTCATTAATGAAGGTGTTCAGAAGTAAAATAAAAAGCTCCCTAGACATACTGCTTTCCTGACATTGCCTGTCTCACAAACACATTCCTATGTACATGAGGTATAACCGGGAACAAAAGCTTAAAAATCTACCTTTCTTACAGTTCAAGAGAGCACTTCACATAGGAAAAGAGGAAGAACATGAAAGAACGGGGTTTTTTCTCACCCTCCAAATCTGTACCAGCATCAGCAGAAAATACCTCCTATTCTTTGTTGTTTCATATATCCATGTGGTGTCTAGGTATGCTTTAGCAAAGAATGACTTTGAGAAGTGTTTCCATTGCCTACGTTACCTAGCACCTCCTCCTCTGCCCTGCTGAAATAAGGAACAAAGTAACCTCATATCAAAAGGTATCCAGAGTTTGTTTGAGCCTGACTTTGATCCTAGCATGACTAATCAAAAACGTACTAGTGGTTCTCAATTTTTGACAAAATAATTTACTGCCATCTATGAGCATTTTCTCATGCATGCCAATCAGAATTCATGCCCTACATCCATTTAACTGCCAATTCAAAAAAAAAAAGACTGAAAATATCTTGTTGGGTCTGAGACATCTCTTTGAAGAGGATTAAAATCCTGTATATTATATATTTATATCCTTTACATATAATTCCTTATTGTATATGCTACACTGAACCTTTACTGCTATTTGGTTTTTAAGCACTTTTACTCACCTACAGCTACCTTAAGTAAGGGCAAGAGAAAAGAATGGGGACACTTACAGACAAAGACTTCAGCAGTCTGTGCTCGCTCACTTCATTCTAACCTACTGTAATTAAGTCCCTACTAGTAAAAGAGAGACACAGAAGTTCTCACATAAGGTAATTGTCCTAGTAGTACCAAATAGGAGAAACTGGAGATTATGGAAATATGCACATGTGCAGAAGGAGGTGAAAAGTTGGGAGAAAAAAGCAAGAAAATGGTACAAAGTGCCTTGCTCTTTCAAGCAAGAATAGTAAGAAATAAGAAAAGGCTAACATTTGACAGATGATAGAACAAAAAAAAATCACTTGAGAAAAATTATCTTTAATTAAAAATGAGTACTTACTCTGCTTTTGACATCCTTTAGTTTGGGAAGTATTTCCAAACCATATCCATCAGCTTGACCTCGGGTCCTATTTCCACCATTCATATAATTTCCAAAAGCCAGAATCAAACCTAAAATTTCCTTTACACTGGTCATGTTCAGCAAAGCCTGGAAAATGGATACTAGTCTGTAACTTCTGTTGGCACAAAAATTCTAATTGCTAATATAAAAACACTTTTTAAATTTTATTTTTGATAGAGGTTTTATTTCTTGTGTGTTTTTACCCCTCTAGGGAAAGGAAGCTAAAACCTGTACAAAAATCAAACATTTAAAAGAAGCATTTATTAGACTGTATTTGCTTAAGATACTATGTTTAACTTAATCTATTATGAAGCAAATTATATGGCATCATATACTATGTAGATGACAGAAAGATTAATGGAATAAGATTACTAAGCATTCTTAGTAGCCTTTAAAAAACTTACAGACAAGGTGCTTTATTATGAATTTGCATAATGCACAGTCAAATGGAGATGTACTATTTTTGCTTCCTCTGTGTTAGACTCGGAATGTTATATTCAGTCTGCTACTCATTCTTCCTGGTGCTCTGGAAACGCGCATTTCTGGATCCATACTTAATGCAGATATACTAGGGCTAAGAACTAAATTACTATGCCTCAAAACAGAAAAGAAATCTAGAAACACAGTGGAGAACTAATAAATTATTTTAATTTACATATGAAGACATCTATCTTGGCAATCTAGAATCTGAGACCATGGGCCTAATTCTTAACTGTGTAGCCTTACACTACATGTTGGATAAATCAATTGTAGTGTGAGCTCCTCGTAAGTAAACTGAGGGCATTACCACTTTCCTTATCTCATACAAAACTGATTCCTTATTTATGTCTCCTTTTGAAAGGGAACACTAAGTGACTATTTTTATTGTTAAAATACGCAAAGAAATCCAAAGGGGTAGAGCACAGGTACTTTGTGGCAGCAAAGTTAATCAAAAGCTAATCTTCAAATTGGAGAAAAAAAAAAAAAATCAAATACTGTCCTGACCAGGATGTTATACGTTTAGGTCAATATTTAATTTATCTTTTAATTCTTATCTCATTCTACTTTTCATATTTTATTTGTTATAATTTCAAAATCTTGTCTTTAGTCTTTCATAGTATAGAAATCTTAGGTAAAGCTTTGTCAGGTACTAAAAAATCTGCTGATTAGAGTTAACAGAAATGTATAGATACCAGGGGAGAGTAATAAGCTAATGAACGTGACAGGCATCTATTGCTGTTGGCATCAACAGCGATATGCAAAAAAAGTAAGCTTGCAAGGCTGTGTACTAAACTAGTCTGATATTTAATTTCTGTTTTATGGAGATTACCTGTGACTCTACTTCATGTGCAAAGTAATAAAAATTCAAATAAAAATAAATTTTCCTGTGTAGAGCATAGGGCATCACATAGAACTCACCTTCCCTCTTTCCTCCTCCTTTGGCTCTTAGAAGCAGCTAAAAGATGTAATATATTTTTATTTTCCTGATAAGCCAATAACCACGCTTAAGGTTCATCACTTACAGTAAAAAAAGAAACATGAATACTCTAAAATACATTTATGCTTTTAGTCAACTTTCATTAGGACTTACCTTGGAAACACGAGTTACGATATCAACTTTCCGGTGCACTGATGTTATCCCTTCAGAGAAAACTGACTGGAAGATAATACACTGAGCTCTTTCTGTGAAGTTGGGGATCTGAGATAACTCATATAAAAATCTGTGGAAAAAAAGAGTATTAACTAATCTTTATATTTCTTATCTGTGCGGCACACAATGGATCAACGATGTAGTATTATGAAATACACATGCAATCTTTCCTACTTGGAATCAAATCTGACAGGATTTATAATTGTTATATTCTTTATGCTCAATGGGTTAAGAAATCCTGTTAATATCAAGAAAAAGGCAAGACACTAATCATTGTCACAGTAATCCATTAACTAACTATCGCAGCTGCAAAAGAAAAGGAAAGACCTAGAGACACACTATCTATTTACTGTTTTCACTCATGTGTTTTTGCTTCCCTTAAAAATGTGCCCAGCAATACGGAACTTAGTATATTCCTACAAGGTTATTTCATAATATAAAAAGTCTGTCAAGAAATTTCTTCCGATGCTTAGCCTCAATTTTCTTTTACTAATTTGCACCACACTTCCAATTACATAGCAGCATGTTTTACGGTAATGCACCTAGCTATGTATTTAGCTCTAAAATACTTGCAGATTATCTCTCTCTTCAGTCACTGTTCAGCAAAGTTACTAACTCTTTATCTGCTCTTCATCTGTCCTTGTATATACACTTTCCTCATGAGTCTATTCCAGCTTTCTTCCTTTAACTCTTTGGTAAATAAAAATAAATTGAAGTATATTCAACAACTCCAGTTCGGGTATCACAAAATGAAAGCATCCCAAAGGCATGAGTAATTCCTCCCTTTTCTTCAATTTAAAATGTAAGAGCTTGGCTAAATAACACAAGAAGCTTTAGCATTCCTTATAACAACAGGGTTTGCATAATTTACTGTGTGGGTTTTGAATTTCTAGAATTTCAGTGATACACATGCTGTCTTGAAATCCAGAAACAAGCTGTCTTTTGCTCCAATACCACCTTAGAAACATCTTCTAATTGCCTGTCTACAGATACCCTTAGATTCCCCATTAACACAACGCGGTAAAGATTTTTCTACCTCACTGAATTATTGGAAATTCTGTGAACCATTATTAGCTTGAATTCTTATTACATTTATTTTAATTATTTAAGCCAATACATTTTATTTTTCCAAATTATTTCTTTTTCATAATAAATAATATCAGTATCTTCCAATCTGCTTTATAAATTTCTCCTGCAACACTTTGCTGAATGCATAGTGACTGTCTAAAAAACCAGCAAAATCCACCTGTGGCTGGTGTGAAATACTGTGTTTTAATTGGAATATAATTTCTTTCCTCCTTTTTCTTTCTTGCATGATGAAAAAAATCTATTGTGACAGTAGGATTGGGGAGGCCTGGCTTGGCTTTACACTTAAGCAGTGGGAAAAAAAGAAATGCCAAGCTGGTATTAATAAAAATGCTTCCTATTGGGAATGAATGGTATTGCCAGGAAAAAAAGAGGATACTTTGCACTTTGTGTGAGAGAAACAAAAGAAAGAAAAACCCAAACTGCTTCACTAAAGTTCTAACATACATACATTTTAAAAGTTTAAATTTAAAAAAAATCAGATGACACATTTCTTTCCTTCCCTTGAAAACGGAAATCTCTCCTACACTGCTGGTCATCCAAGTACAAAATAATTGTGCCGAGCATTAAACAAGCATCAGCATAAAAAGAAAATGTCTCCAGATTTTGGAATTCAAAGTATCCAATGTAAATATCCAGACAGAACACTTATAACTAAAATCTGTCACAAAAAGGAATCTTAGTGACAACAAATGTAGTTACTAAACACAAAGTCATGGCATGAATCTGTGGTTAATGATAGACAAACCACCAATTCAGGTGGACAAAACTTTCTGAGAGCAAACAATATTCTTAGTTCAGTCATTTTTGCAATTTTAGTCTAAGAAAAGTATGATTTTAAGTTAAAGTAACAATGACAATGACTGTGACGTAGCTTTTTGATGGGTTTCTCATTGCTACACTTCTTATGGCCTAAAGTAAACATAAAGAATTTGCTGTTCATCACTGTGAGGTCCATTTTTCTTCTCTCCTGAAGAACTTGAGAACTTTTTTATCCTACCAGAATCTTGTAGTAAAGGACTCGAGAGTACTTTCACTGATCCTATGGAGGTAAGCTGTTTATCATTTCACATTTATCCACATTTGAAGAACATAAAATTTAGAAATAATTTTGTAGAAAAAAGGTGAATCTAATCCTGCAAGCTTCTAAGTAAGCCAGCAGGATTTAAACTGAAGTCAAAGGAAAGTGGTCTTCAAAGAGAAGCAAATGGCATTACTTGGACAGCAATTATTAATAGCTCACTACTTCCTGAATTCAAACCACATACAAAAGAGGAAAGCTCAGTACCATATTTTGCTACTACTTCCTTCATTAGTATTTCTTTCACAGTAGAGAGAACTTCACAGAGATTACATTACAACTAAAAGGGTCTTCTTGGAAACTAGCTAAAGCATCTGTATCCTGCTAGGAAAGCCCCAAACTGTGGCCAATTGTGCATCTAAATCTTTATCATGTTAATGAATATTAGCATTTTAACAACTATTACCATGAAGCATAACTTAGGGGCGCATTGTCATGTTGCTGTCATACTTACAGTTTGTGCCAACAACAGCAAATTTAACATGGCAGCAAAACAAATTAAAATCACATGTGCAGGAGAGCATCAGTGATATCACTAAAGCTTTCTATTTCTCTGATAATCCAAGCATTTAAAAATGGCAAAGATTTCCTTTAGACTTCAGTGAATTCACATCAATGGTTTCATTATACGAATGCTTATTACTAGTGTTTGCAGCTATTATGACAAATGGTTTAGTTTGCACTTTTGTTCTGATCCTCATTAAAGAAAATACATGAGGCTTATGCCCTGCAGCAAATATTTTAATCACACATAAAAATTTAGCACTTTTCTGTCTCTAAGGTTTTATGGAGTTAGTATACATAGTACAGTTCTAACAAATCTCCAGTTCTGCATTTAGGCTTAGAGGCTGACTTAAGACAACAAAACCAGCAGCACCTCATCTACTGAGTTTTCAGCAAGGACATTATTTTGGAGGTCAAATAAAATATACATAAGTGCATCATCAGCAAATTGTTTCCCCCTTCAGGCAACATTTTAAAAAGCTAGTTTTCTTAACCTATGTAGTGTAATAATAGGGTAAAAATGGGATACTTAAGACTTGCAGAGAGAACACAAAGGGTAATAATTGATAAAAAGTAGCTTTTGTCTTTAACACTACTATTTTACACTGAATGATCAGGTGTAACTGCTTTATTTATAGTTCTTCACTTTTAATTATGGAACAATGATAGCATAAATGCAACTTTGTGTTTAATTAAGATCAACCTCTCTCCACTATAATTTACAAAACCAGACAACCTTTTAAAACTCTAGAGCTCTGCAAGATTTGTATTCTCCAGAACATAAAACGCATTAATATTTATTTCACTCAGACATACAGCAAACATATTTCCAAAGATTCAAGCTCTGGAAAACATCAACTAGTCACACAATGTATTCTTATGCCCCAAGCCAATGCAATGAAAACCATGGGTATGGGATGCAAGAACAAGCTAGTTTATACACTTTACAGATATTTGTCTTCTTAAGTCTTACTTAAGAATGATAGCCACTCTTAACCAAGAGTAAGCATGACAGCCTCATCTCCCAACATTAACCTATTTCCTAGTGGACAGTCACAAATGAGTATTTAGCTGCCTTTTGTTAGGAGAAAGAGGAAAAAAAAATCTGCTCTTCACCAGTAACATTTTCATGGGAAAAAAAGGTATGAAGATGTAATACTTCTGACATCAACCAGTCATATGCTATCTCTGTTGATTCTTCCTCCACCATCCTTTCTTACACCAAAGACAGAAGAAAAGACAAAAACATACAAGAGGGCAGGGAGGCCTCAGGGCAGGAAATTGCACTGTGATTAGAAGAGGAGGATGGAAGTACAAAGGGGAAAATAGCAAAGTAGCAGAAGACAACCACCACTGGTAGGCCAAAATCTGAAGCCAAATGTATACACTAAAATAAAATTCAGGATTACCATTCTGCTCGTGAATTCTTGTGATTTTCACCTTGGTCTAAGGTTTATTACAACAGAAAGAGCAACACTTAAGAAGTTTTTCAGCCTAACAGTTGTCACTGCCCACAACAGTCACAGGAGATGAACTGTGGAATCAGCCTTGTAGGTCTTCAATCAGCATGACTAGAGCGTACATTGTGTCTTTCTCACAGGACTCGCCAAAACCCTCTCTTTGTGTAGCTCTTTCAAATAATCAACAAGCAAAATCAGTCTGTCACTGCTTCCTAACATTTTAATATAGCCCTAAAAGCTCTAAGGGAAGGATAAGCCTTTTACAAATGTGAGAATGGGAACAGAAATTTATTGATTCAAGGCTACGTATTTTACCAGTTCTGGTGGTGCAAGTTGACATAGTAAAATCTGTCATGTCTGCAAAAAGTTGTGTATGTGATTAAGGCAAAGTTTACATTATGCCTTGAAATACACAGAAAAGTTAAAAATCCGCTACCAATAATTATGTATCAAGATCCCTTTTAATGTATCAGCAAAGGACTATACTATATAATAATAAAATATTAAAAAAACCACCCAACTTACTGTTCTGGTTTATCCAGAAGTTTCAGTTCCTCCTCTTTTGAAGTCTGATAATATTGCTTGATTTTCTCCAGTTCATCCTTTTGTGCTCTCTGAGTGAATTAATTGAAAGTAATTAATATCAAATTAATAAATTACTAATTTACCTGCTTGTCTGCAAATAACAATTTTTTTTTTTTTGTGAAACATTTAGACTATGCATAAGAGTGAGGCCTAAAGATCCATGATAAACTCCTTCAGTGCCCTGCAGTGACATTCACCACCAATGGCCACAAAGCAGAGCATCCTTGTAGAGCACAGCACTACATATGCTGCTATAGGATGCTCCACACAATTTAGGTCGGAGAGGTAGCTCTGAAATCTCTACAGCCAAGTGTGAAAGTATTCTGTCACATAACTTCAGAGTCACACAGTTCATGAATGCTATATGCTACAGAGCAACTTGGGTAAGGACAGCAATGCACTAGCCCGAGTTAACTGATCTAGTAGCCACTTACATCTTGAATGAGAAAAAGCCAGCATGTTAGCACAAAAAAGGCCTTAAGAACAGTATTTTTCAGGCAGTTCAGGAGAGCACATGGATAGATGTTATACCTTTTGTTAAATTTTAACCTGATTCCAAAGGCACTCCATTGTTTTAAATTTGACATTTAAGAACTAAGCCAGTAAGAGAAATATGCATGTCAATGGGTATTTTTTTATGTTACCTATTTTATTACTGTTAAATTCCTTAAAGACTTTTTCTATATGATGCCTCTAGCCTAAAATGACAACATAAAATAAAACTTTACTTATTCTGTATCTGAGATACTATGGTGATTAACCACAGCTTTACCCCAGTTTACTTACATTTTCATATAGTGCTTCCAGTGTTTCCAGATCTACTATGGAGTCATCAACACACAGTATAGCTGTATAGAATATAATCACAAATTAGATGCTCATACTTAAGAGTTCAATTTTGTTTCCTGAGAAATGTACTAAAGAGATCTGGCCTAGCTAAAAATATAATACGTAACAATAAATAATATTTTATAATAATAAATGTATATATGCATATATTTACATATATATGTATATAATAAACATAAATGTAAACTGTACCCAGTTTATATTTTATTATTTTCAGCATTTTATTTTTGTTCTGACTTCCAAGTCACAGGACTCATAAAGAACTTACTATAAACTCTGTCTTGGGAGAATTTTCCTCTCCAGTATGCTCAGCAGTCAAAGATATTACCTGCCAGGTACTCAGCTGATTGTGTAGTTGGCCAGGCAGGAGAACATGAGACCTGATACCAGACAATGAGCAGCACAGATTTCATGGTAGCTTAGAAGGCTGGATAGGAAGCAACTGAGAGTTAGGGTATTTAGGTCTCCCTATGTGCATGGGAGATCAGGGAGATCCACTTGTCTTGGGGCTAGCAGTCTTGGGAAGCAGATAGGTAGACAAACTTGCAAGATTTGCAAGTTGCAAATTTGCAAGCACAAAAGATCGTGCTACTGATTTTCAAGGTATCTTCATATAGCAGCTCATGTTTGAGTTAGCTTTATCCACCAGAAAACTACCCACATGATACTTTCCATTGTTTTTAAATTTTAAACATCACATAGAGATACCTGAAGTATACTGTTCAATGATTAATTATGCCTCATTACTAAAAATGAAGTCTGAAAATGTTTCCTATCTTAGTTCCAATGTTACTACATTTGGAATATATGGCATTAGGTGTTTTGAACATTTGTAAATCCCGTTACAATTTAGGCAATGTATTGAGACTCTTCTGAAAACTAAATAGGATTGGTTCATGGTGCTTTCTAATGTTCTCTAATGTCAAATTCCAGTAAGCTAAGAGATGCACAATAGAAGAGAAATAACTTTGGATGTTTAATTTTTCTGAAACCAGCATTTCATCAAGATTCATAATGGGACTGGGCACAATTTCTGAACTCCTCCTTATGTTTAAATGTTACTGGGAACATTAATCCCAAAAGAATCAAGCTTAAAGCCTCTACCAATTTTCAACATAACTCATCATTAGCCAGTACCTGATAACTTTTAATTTCAACTGTACTATATTTCTTCAAAGGAAACTTGACTGCTTGTGAATTTAGAAGATTTTAAAAGGTCCTGCTGTATTTGCGATCCATGTTTGAAAGGAGCAAGGCACACATCTTTAAATAATTATTTAAAAGTAATAAGCTTTCGCCTGCTCTTCCACCTACCCCACGATTTTACATTGTGAAATTAACCAGCAGGCTAGTAAATTTTCTCTGTGGCAGGCTAATTAATTTTATTAAAAGGTCCAATGACATTTAGAATGCTTTAAAATTTTGCCTGTCAATTATGATTCCATCTGTTGACATTACACCTTGGTTAGAAGTAAAGAATTATACAGAAGACAATATCAGTGAAAAAAAGCAATATCTCCAACTATATTTGTCCTGTTGGAAAGATTAAAAAAAAGCTCAAGAGCGTAACCAAATACAAAGCCCAAACCACAGAGTTTGACAAAAATCTTTGTTTAAAGAAAATCATTAGGGATTGAACCTATGAGATCATCTGTTGGCTCTTGCAAGATGGTCCCATGAGTTGCATTATCTTCTGTATTATCCAATGAAATTTCAAAAGAACCTAAGAGATTGTAAAAATCTATTGGAAAATTGGTTTCACAGTCCAATATAGTTAATTGTTAAGATATTAAAATATGCATATTGAGTTCAAAAACTTCCCCTTGTGGTTTCACTTTCATCCTATTTTGGAATATTTCTCTTACAATGAGAAATTTATTTATCCAGAGCTATCTAGAAAAGCAACTTCTTGGAGGTAATTTGAACCTGTACTAGAAATGCAAAACATGTAACTCATAGTAGATTTTTTAGGTACAAAACTACGATGAACTACTATTACTACTATTACAATGAGAGGAAGTGGTTTGAAAAAAGAACACTTTAATAAGAATATTAAGATCTGCACATCTAACTGGAATTTTCAATCAGATATTTGTCACAAAAAAGGCCCCAAAAATCACAAAGTGGTTTTTAATGCTAAATTTTCTTATCCATCTTTCTGTACTCAACACCAGTTGTAACAAATCAACATTGTTTTGTGACATGATAAAGCAAAAAATGTTTGGGATTAAACTAGTAAAATACAATCTGATAAGTGAACACATTTTAAACAGAATTAACAATAATCTGTGTTGAGACATTAATATTAATTATTTTCTCTTCTGTGCAAGTATGTGATTGTATAAATGCACCAAGAAAATATTTTCTGACTTACTTGCTATACAACCTGTCCTGCTATTATTGGCAATGACCATGCAGACAGGCTGCAGTTAAAAATCTAGCTATATTACTCAATTCAGTGATAGCTGGACAGCTCAGGATGCCATTCTTAAAAAGTCAGTACTGCCAGAACCCACACAAACTTCTTTATTTCATCTTCATGTATTTTAATATCTTTATCTTTGTCCTTATATCCTTTTTCATTCAAACTGATCAAACTTAATGCCATACACATTTGGAGCAAAAGATAAAAACAAAACCATGTAAAATTATGAAGATTGGCTCATTTTTTAAAAAAGAAGCACTGATTTTGAAAAGCTGGAAGAAAATCCCAAATTCATAGGTGTCTCAGTATTCTTCATATTCTTAAAATACAGCATGTGCAATACATTCACAGTATGTTGTGTAAATTAACTTGAGTTGGGGGAGCTGAAAAACCCCCATTACACTAGATCAAAGAAACTAATTATTTTACTTATTACTTAGAGTTACAAGGAACAAAAGCTTCTTAACTTTTCTGTGAAAAACAAAACCCAGTTTTAATCATATGTATATTAGCATTATTAAAATGAATAAAAACCTTGGTAAGTTTTTCAAAATGCTCTTCCTGATACAGTGAATTTAACCACGATACTTTACTGCATTAAATCTCATTATACCAAGACTCACGTAAGTGTTAAGTAATATAGGTGAAGTATCATAAATCTACAAAAGAGGCTCCAAAACAATTAATAGCTATTACAATATCAATCATCATCGGTGGTTTTTACTTTTATCTTGCTTTCTAGTTAGCTGTCTTCCTTACACTGTCAGTTCGGTTAGAATATTTCACCTACACCTCACAATATGTCGAAAGGAAGTAGACTCATGCTGTGAAAAGCTGGTAATTTTATTGGGTTCCTCTACCTTTAAAAAATCTGTTACTTGGCCAAGTCTGGTTTCTGAGATCCTTTTTTGCAGGGAAATTGAGGCAAACATTTTTATGTGGCCTATGGTGTCTGCTCACAACAAGAAGAATTTATATACACAAGGATCATTAGTGCAGGGTTGCACCCATTAGGATATAATAACCGTCAGCTAGGACAAAAAACAGATCAGCATCATGCATTCAAACTAACAGGCACACATAAAAATACTTGCCAACTACATTTCGCATACTAAGAGTATTGCTTCGAATACAAACTTGTACCAAAGGTTTTTAACAGATTCATTTTTTAAAAATCAATCTAACTGTAAAAAACAGATTCCCTACTACACAGATTTTTCACATACATTGTTTTATCACCTCAAAAATATAAACCAAAGAAAAGTTGAGAATTTAAAGCATAATGTGTGCACTTTACATACTACTGTAGAACTTAAGAGGTTAAATATGAAAAAGATACTTCTCTCCTCTTAACCAGCTTAAATACCAACAGTCTTAAGGCTGACTCTGATATACAGACGCACGCCTACTAAACACTTTTTGGTTAAATCAGGATTTAAGTCCTGCTGACAGAGCTTACATATACTCAGGAGTATCAAACCACTTAATGTGACAATTAAACTATGAAATATGAAGAAATCACCTTAACTGCTCCCTAATGATAGAACAGAAATACGTTATTTAAATAAAAAGAGCTTGCCAAAGGTACATTTACTCGACCTGGAAGTACTTCATTGTTTTATGTAGTACATTCTGCTGAGTAAGGCTTGATTTGATGGGAACATGAAGCCCATCACCGGGAAATTTAAATTAAATTGTGACTGATCTAGTCAATTAGAAAATGACATCGATTGTTAAATACAAATGCCTACTTGGCGAAACTGCCTAAACTATCCAAATCCCTCTGCTTAACTTCTGACAAATTGATATGTTCTAAACTTATGTAAAGGTTTTCTCCACTATTTAACTATCATGCAACATAAAAAAAAATTAAAATATGTATTACAAAGAAGCACCATGAGCACAATGTAGGTCTAGAAGACTAAGAAAGCTCAACTCCTGCAAGAAGTCATGAGCAGAAGACACTGGCACTAATGTTAACCTGCCCACATCAGGCTGGGTGCCCAAGACAGATTCACAGAAACATGTGTTGTGAATTTTCCAGAACAGAGAAAATAATTTTTAAAGAAAATTGTTTCCCAACTTCTGAGATGGGTATGCAGCTACCTCTACGCTTCATGCATAGTATACGAAATATATAGAATGCATACTCCGTCTAGGTGGAAGTGTCACACAACTTTGGAAAAACAGTTTTTAAACCTTTATAATCTATACTTCCGTCCTGCAAAATATTTCAGTTGAAACACATCATGCAAGTAAGAAATATTCCAAAGCATTTATCTTTATCCAGAAGTATTTCCAAAATAGAATAAAGAAAGGAACTGTGAAACTATTTGTGCTGCATGATATGGTTAAAACACAAACTGGGATTCAGAAATTTTGAGCACACTAAGGTCTGCAGATTAGATTTGCTTTGGAATAGTTTGCCTTATACATAGAAAACACAGTCTTTCAGATGCTAAGAAAAGTGCCTGGTTAACAATGATACTGTTCTCCAAAGTTTAGATGTTCCGTAAACCATAAATTACACTAAGACAATGCAACCTATTTATATAACTTCTATGGCCTCTTATTAGAGGAAGACCACATAGATATCCCAGGATGATTAGAAATATAATACAGAATTAGAATGATTATTGGACTGATCATCAGTCTGGAGGAGTTAATCTGCTGTTCACATTCTTCCAATTATTTACTCCAATATGTTGATAACAGAGGGTAAATCACAAAGTTGGACAAGTCCAATCAAGCACTTTTCAACTGGTTGACTGACATCGTACAATAGAATCATAGCTGTATACTTTCTAGAAAGTTGTTCCCCTCCTACAATGCCATACAAAAAATTTTGATCAGAGTGACAATGAGAGTTACTTGCACTGCTCCTGATCAGAGTGTCGTTACTGTGACACTATAATAAAAATATATTCCACATTTGAGGATTAAAAAAAAAAAACACTAATGAAGGTGAATCTACAAAAGCAGATGGCTTGACCTAGGCTTTTTAACAAAATCTATTCTAATCCATCCCATCTAAATGTGATCAAATACATTCCCCTAGTATTTTCAAAGCTTAATGTGCCTCTGCATAGATAGTTTACATTGTTGTTGAACACAAGAATGTTCCAAATGCACAATAAACATACCAGTTCCCCATACGTGCTATTACAGGTTGGCCAGTACTACTCTGATTTAATAAATGGGAGTCTCAGACATTATATTTAATTCCTTAAAGTCTACAAAAGAAAAAAAATAGCAAATTAGCATTAGAAATAGAATTAGAAATGCCAAGGATCAGTGTTAAATTCTCCCCTTTGCCATATAGGCTAATTCTGTCAGCGTTGCAGTGCTAGAGTGTTCATCTCTTGCCTAGGCAAGTGTACCAGCAAAGCCTGCAGCTGTTCTACGTGGAGCAACATGGCACTTTATTGCCACAAAGAGTGCAATAAACTATAAAGTGTGCATCTGGTGTGATCTACCGCATCTCATAGATTTGGTACCATGGAAGATATACCAGCATGGGAGACCATCTAATTAACGCTGATGGAAATCAGGGGTATTAGACAGTGAACTACTTCCAGCAACGTACAGAAGCAGAACTTCTGGTTCCCCACAATTTTAGTGGCAAAATGTAGGTACTATGGAAGTAGGGAGGGATTTTGGAGAAACAGTCTTTTGGACATAGACATCTACATTTTATCTACATCCCATTTTCTGTAGCTAAAACTTTTTTTCATCTGGACTGCCCCACAATTTTGCCAGTTTACTCTTGAACAAAGATCTCAGTAGCTCATGGGAAACCAGCACAGATGATGTGTGCTGCAGAAAAGAGTATTATTATTATGTGTCTTCCAGTATCCTGCTATTGCTAACTACTATACTGGGAACTGCCTGAGTGACTGGAATCTTGCACTGTAAGATGTTGGGATCAGTGCCCACAGAGGGTCTTCGCATACAGTTATAATCAACATTTCCCATTAGAAACAGAACTGAAACATCTCACTGTGGAGTGAGCTGCAATACTTCAACAGCAAAGCTACACAAGTAGTCTTGAGCCACAGGTTTGTCTCTCAAGTTGTAATATTTCAGCTGAACAATGATAGGAAAAGTAAGACAGAAGTGCATTGATATGAAATGGAGATTAGTTCTCTAAGTATCTAGTCTTAAAGCATATTCCATACCTAACAGCTGACCCCCACTATTCCTCACGTCTTCTTTATAAAGGTTTAAAAAAACCCACAGAGAAGCAGCCTTTAAAATAATCTCAAACCTATGTACAATTTGATTATTGCTATTTGTTTTTAAAATATAAAAACAGATCCTATATAGCATACCGAGACAGATTAAAAAAAACCACAGAGAAGCAGCCTTGAAAATAATCTCAAACCTTTGAGTTTGAGATTGTACCTTTGTACAATTTGATTATTGCTATTTGTTTTTAAAATATAAAAACAGATCCTATATAGCATACCGAGACAGATAGATTTTCTGTCTGCTGCTTCTGCTCAGGAAATTACTATGATGAATATGGTCTAATCAGAAACTATATTACCCTCTTACCCTATATTACCAGATTCACCAATGAAATTTGTTCGTGTTCTCAGAACATTACAGCACCTAGGACTTCTCTCCCACCTACCAAAAAGCTGAGTTTTAGGACAGGTGCAGCACGACAATGTTAACCGTCCCTCTGCATAATATAATACCAACACTAGCCAAAATAATTATTTAGTTTTACATTGTCTTCTCCCTAGACTGTACTCTTAGATACAGCAAGAATTTAAACTTAGCTGCAAAAGATGAACTTCACTCTCTCAAACAAACATGTGTAGGAGATTCCCTTCCTGAAGTGTGGCAGCTAGCTCATTATCAAATGCAAACTGAAACATCTGGGTGCCAGATATGGTCACTTGCTTGTTTTGCACTGCTGAGCTATCTACAGAATATGCTGTGAAGCTATTTACTTTCATTTGAGAGGGTAATCCTACAGATGCAGAGATCTCACACTATTTTAAAGGAGGATGTAATTTTTCTTGTGATTATTCTTGTTTTGCCTTCTCTACAATTTTGCATGTGTCTGTATGCGTAGGGCAGTTATAGAATATATTTGTATTTTTGTAATGGCTACTTAAGGTAGAGTAACCAGTACACTATACATAGACAGTAAATTAATTTGTACATGGCTTTTCAACAAACATGGCCAGAAACAGTTGAAATAAAATTACATATCCTCTTTTTTTTTTTTAATTTCAACTTTCCTTTGCTTCAAGTGTCTACATTCTCTGTTGCAAGCTGCCAAAGACCACTAACTTTTCTTTCCCCTGTCTTTCACATACTGCATTATGCAATGGAAATTGGCTTCAAAAAAGGGATGGGTGCTTAATTTTCATGTTTCTTACAGGTAGGTCTTTGTAACTTCACTTTGTTAAAAAAAAAAAAAAAGAACATGGACATTCATTAACCCAATGATCATATGCTTTTTTGGTTAGGTGTTGTCATGAGCTATTTAGCTTATTATGATCTTTTTTCATGCAGTACATTGACTATAGTGGTCTTCAAGCAATTTGTCTGCTGATAGGCCGGCTTGCACACAGATTTAAATTAAACAAAATACTAGGAGATAAACACACACTAAAAGAGAAACAAGCATAATTCTACTGTTGTCTTCAATGTAGTATGCATTTCTAAAGATCCTCTCTACAGAACAGATTTTTTCCCTAGATAGTCTCTGCACACAGATCTTGATTATTCTTTGTAATATATTTAAAAAAAAAAGTTCCACTAACAGTACTCCCATATCTTGCTTGCATCTCCTAGCTGTTTCCATAAGCAAGAGGCAGCATATTCTATTGCTGTCTTGAGCAACACATGTGGTGACAGGCCAGTCATTTGCTACCTCCAAATAGAGAGGGTGATGAGTTATAAACTCTCCTTCAGTGACAGCACTTGTTTTGGTGTCTCTCTTGTACCAACATGCTAATTTTCATTAAACTTGTAGGACTACATTAGCTATGTCTACAACTGCAAGTAGTGTAGTCTTTAGAAATGGATTTGTAGACAGCAACAGCTGGTACTAAGGACCCAGTGTTCACACTATACACATTTCAGAGAGTTTTAACTATCTCTTATCTGATCCTGTGGAATTTAAAACCTGCCGTAGGTGGAGACTGCTGACGTGCTGCTAGAGCACATCTTCTAATTTAATTTAATTCTGAAGGATGCTTGTGCACTCTGAGACTGCTCTGCAAAGCAAACACAGCAAAGGGGACAACTGGTAGGTTTGATTCAAAAGTGCATTGATGATTCAAGCTAAAATTCTAGTGTATACATACCCAAACATTTGACTTATTCTTTCTCTTAAATTTAGTATAAATTGTCCTGAGGGTTTCAAAAGCTATAGAAGTACAGCAAATGACTGATAGATAGCTAGATAGATTATATTTTAAGTAGAACATCATGGCATGGAAAACAAAAAGTCATGAAAACTCCTCTGAAGATATGTAAAAATACTACCCAGTTTTTATAATACAGCTGCTATCCTAACCTATGCTGCTGTAATTCCTGCCAGCAAATTATTCAGACCTTTAGTAATAGCAGGTTTTTTCATCTTGTTGTGATACCTTTCACACAATACTGGCAGGCACAAAGTTATTCCTTCTTTTTGTTTCCCTCCATCCCAAGAGACATCTGTAAGCCCTTGTGCTTTTAAAGTGCTAGATGCTCAAAGGCTCTTCTGAAATTAATAATCATCAATGCCAGCAGCATCTCAACACCCTACCCAGTATTTGCATGTGATGGAAGGAAAACAATAGCAAAAAGGAGACATCAACTTCAATTCTTCCAGCAGTTGTTTTAAATGGTGAATATTTTCCTTTTTTTAATGTGAAAAAGAAATAAACAATATCCTTAAACAATATCTTTTTAAATCCAGAACATAAGCAGAATCTGAATTACCCCAGTTGTTCTGAAAAATCTGTGTTTCTCTACAGTTGTATTGGCAAACTCAGATAATTTCTACCAGTAATGGAATTTATATACTGAGTAGCCCTATGCTTTGAAAAATGCCATCCAGTAATGATCTTTCTGATTGCTACATGGTAGCTGCATCAGTTTGGGATGTGCTTTTTATACCGCTAATGAAGCAAAATGTAAACAATTCAGCAAATACTGACTGCATGTTTGAAGCCCAAAAGACTTATATATATAAGCCCTCCATTTAATTTTTGTCAGCAGAGTATTTGCTTAAGAAAAAGGAGGGAACTGTAGTGGAGCAATATGAAACAGTTTTGAGAAAACATTGTATGAAGGTGATATGTGAACTGAAACTGTACAGAGGGAGTTGTACCTAAATTAAGTTCTGATTATTTGGGTGAAACTTTTACACATACTGGAATATACTGGAAGAATGGTTCTTCTGATATCTTAAAGAGGACTATATTCAAAGCACATCCTGTTATGTAAGAAATTCTCTAAAGGGAGCTATGAGAAAATATTCACGCAAATATGATACATTAAGTGTGAGAAACACTTACCTTGTTGAATATCCTTCATCTCCAGGTGCAAACTGGATATTAAAATTCCTACAGTTTGAGATCGTTTTCCATCCAACAATTTGATAATCTAGAAAGATGATGCAAAATGACCTGAGATCAAATGAACACTCCATGAAGGATTCATTCATGTTAATGACAGAATGTTAATTTGTGAATTTAATTCAATGTCTCTCCAAACATCAAACCTTTTTATTAGCTAAATGTGGTAGTAAAACCTTAACCTTATCTATATGCCCTGCACCTTAACAAATATAAATGATATAAATATAAAATTCAAGCTTGATAAATGTAAAATTGAATTCTCACCAGGCCTAGTAAAGAACATCACCTCTTACTTGTGGGATGCTTCTAAGAAGGAAAAAAAGGCACTCCAAACATTTATTCTGGGATATACTCTTTC